TGATGCCTTTGATGTCCTTTCTCGGAAGGGTCTTAATCCCTTGATCCCTTAATCCCCTAACTGTGGTGCGCTGCAGCGCCCGACGTCAAATTGGACGTTCTTTGGGCGCCCTCATTTTTTCTGATGTCCGCGGTCCCGCCTTCGCTAAGGAAGGAGCACCGGCCCGCGACATTGCATTGTGCGCGTCTCGGCTTGAAGTCTTTCAACCATTGCAATACGAAGCACGGAAGCAAGCGAGTGCCGCAACGCAAAATAAAAATCCGAAACGAGGGCAACCTCTCCAAAAAGTACTTGATCACGCAACAGGAGACGCAAAGTGCGCGCGTATTTCGCGACAGGTGCGCTTTCGTGCAATTTGGAGTAACCTTCCGGGCAGGAGCAGTACCCACGATTTTCCTGTCTTGTTGGTAGCGTCCGCTCTAAGCCTTGCACTGTTGTCGATGTTTCCAAAACAAGCGCCTTCATTCATCCCACTTACGTCTCAGGCGCGCCCACCGCGTCTATCGTCCCCGCAGATGTTTTCGGGCACGCGCGGCGAGCTAGGGACAACAGGTGGCTAGGCTGGCTGGGGACGGGCGCCGCGCCCGACGACTGACCAGCCAAGGCCAAGGTCACGGCCGCCCTCGCCCAAGGTCATCGTCGGACTGCACCTGCTTGCACGCAGGCTGCAGGACGAGTTTAGTTTTTGTCGGCGAAGATGGCTCGTTTTGCGCCGACAGCCGCCTCGGGTTCGGTAACACGCGAGCGTTCGCGCGTTATTTGTGTGTTTGCGCGCGGCGGTACAAGACGCAGCTTGCTGACAAGATTCTAGGGCTTAAACACCGGCAATTGGGCCCGTGCGACGCGGTGCAGTGTTAAGCTGCTGGAAGAACAACATGCGTTTTGCGTTGTAGACCAGAGTGGATTGATCCAGCAATGAGGCACAGTTGGCGGTATCCTGCTGATTTCAGCCGTTATATTTGACTGGGCTGATCAACAGAAAGACAGGTGATGAACATATGAAGAAGGTGTCTTTGTTTTAAAAAAAAACATATGTTCGTTTCATAACAGCGAGTGCGAACAGCCTGGAGATAAAAATATAGTGTGCATGTGGCTGAGCATCCAGACCTCGGAGAAGTTTAACAAGCCTGAACTTCGCGCGATGTTTACACCAGAAGTTCAATCAGAACGTCTGCCCACGACCCATACGGCAAAGCAAATCGAACTGAGCACAATGAAGACGCTAGTGTCCGTTTGGCACGTGCTATAATATGTCAGCGCAATGACGGAATGGTGATTGATGATGGAACGCAAGCGGAAAATGCTGGCGCGGTCTGACATTGTGCTAACTTGCTAAACCTAACGCGTGCAACCGGCCAGATAGTCACTGTTGTGCAACAATACTCACCCAGACAGATATCTGATCGAGCCTACACGCGACCGGTTGGCTGGATACAAAATTCGTCGATGTTTTCTGTCATATTCGATCTTGACAAGGTCACGTAGATGGTAAGCACAATACAGATGTTTTCGATGGTAGTTTTCTCAGAGGACGTTCGTCGAGGGTAGGTCGTGCATGGGGTAAAAGATGGTGCACGGTGTGCAAAACTGCTCAATATCAACTGAGATCCAGCAAAAGAGAATGAAAAATCCAAACCTGTGGAGCCAACTGCCTGCAAATTACTACTTGGTTTTCTACGCCAAATGCTCTAAATATTTCACAGCGTTTCATCAACTGTATGGAAATATGCTGGATTATGGTTAACATTATGTCATGACAAGTAGGTACAAATGACCACCTTACGCAAGCAACTGTATCCCTAAAAACGGTTTAATACATGGAATAGTAGCGGTAACGTGAAGTCTTTCAAGATATTTTACTGTAGGAATAATAATATAATGAACCATCCCTTGGATCACTTACACGCAGTAACCCCTCAAACATTGACATTAACGTTGTGCAAGTCACACACCATGCCCCAATTTTTGCAAGATTTTACATGATCCTGTTTTGTGCCAGTTTACACCTCACTTGTATACATCACACGAGAACAGGAACGCACTCAAAAACAGATGGAGGCAAACGGAGAGGCTGCCAGACACTCGGATAAGCTGGAGCCATCGGACCAGCGCTGGCGCCGGCACGCCTCGTCAACGCCATTATCTCACTTCGTCGCGAGGCCCCGGCGATGATTGAATAAATTCTCAATAGCGGGCACTGGGATAGGCTGCGCACAGAAATTGAAAGCACTATCCGCGGCGCCTGCGACTGGAATCGCATCAGCATATTTGGCGCCGACCTGAGGCGGCCAGATAGACGGGCAGGCCGGCCTTACTGCCGCCCGTCGCACTCCGGCCTCCGGCGGCGGCCCGGTGGATGGAGGCGGGTGGTCGCGACTGCCATTCGACGCAGGGTTGGGACGCGAGCGCACCAACGAAGGGGAGGACTGGGAGGTGGGGAGGGGGAGGGGAGGATTGGGACGTTGGAAGTACCAGGGAGAAGGAGCGGCCCAAAGGCTCCTTTTTCACGCATGTCTTCCCAATTACTTGTTAGTGTTTGTTCGCGGGCCACTTTTTATTGTTAGATGCACGCAATCACACTTTTACTTACACACGTGCAAGTTTACAAATGAAATAGAAAGGCTGATAAAAAAGGGCACAAATGGAGCCACATCAATTTTTGGTGTGTGGAAGCGCCTGCATGAGAGATACAAGAGTATGCATACATCACAACAACCATAGGGTGAAACTTGTGATGGAGTGTAGAGCTGTCGGAAGATCCTACAGCGTGCACTGCATAAAGCATCAGGACATAGAGCGTACACTATCTAAACATAAAGTAGCGTAAACTTAAGTAGAAGCGGCACAAGGGAAAGCAAAAGTAGCATAAAATTGTGTAGAAGTAGGATACAGTAAGGAGTTAGGAGTCCAGGCGTCAAAATACAACTGATCACGCCGCTAGGCATTTCACAACAATGTCAACCATCAGCCAACCGCGATTACACAAAGCAGCACTAATCCCCACGAAAAGCGAGCCACACCGCGACACAATGGCCACCGTAAAACCTCACCACCCGGCTCAGTTTTTCCGTCGGAAACTTTGCAGATTGCGGGCCACCACTCTTTCGTAAATGTGATGGCTAACGCACGACGCCTCAAGTTTGAGGCGTGCAATTTTAAGTTGAATCCTGCCATCACAACCATCATCAAAGTCATCGGGAACTGTGGAAATAGAACGGACATCTTGTCATTATAAATTTGCAGGTAAGCCTCGCCTTCTGCCTCCTGCCTTTTGCGCTATTCGACTGTCAGCTGGGGTTCCGTTTTTCGCGTCGTGTGAGAAGCCGGGAGGATTATTCCTAGAACAAGAAATGAGCTGTGATTCCAAAGGCATTTTCGACCCCAGCTCAGGTTGTCATGCATACAACCGAATGTTGTCACTTATTAAAAACATCCCGTGGGTGCCTTTGGTATACGCCTTCAGTGAAGAAAATCTAACGAATTTTGTCTAAGCCTGGCTATTTGAAAAAATTTCAAACACATCTATGTGCCTCATCTTTTCCATGTGTTTTGGACTAGACAGCTGGGTGCACTCTTAATTAGACGACTCATATATCATTCAATGCTTCCAACATATAGACAAAATTCAGTTGACTAATTCTGTACTTAACATTGGTTTAGCCCGGATGGTATCATCCTCTATTCAAGCACCGAACTTTCTTGATGCTTCGCACCGGGCTTTGGCCAAAAACTGTTTGGCGAGTTGCTTTCTTGCCTTTAGGATCACGATCAGGGTTCAAATCCGATGACAATACCGCTAGAAGTACTGCGATGATGTGAATAAGTCATTTTACAACGCATTTGAACCGTCGAAATTGGAATCCCATGATATTCGAAACTGAGGCGTCGGCCACCTTCTCCGGAGCAAGAACTGCGCAGCATTTGCCATAAATAGCTGCACTAGTCTTTGAATCGTGTTCGATCACCTCCGAACCGATAGACTTTTCTCTCCTCGCGTGTGAACTATTCTGCTCTAGTTTTGCTCCAAGAAGCCGACTTTCTTTTCTGACCCCGCTTAAATTTGGTTTTGTAGCTGGCTAGTGGTGCAATGTATAGTGTCAATCTTTTGCCCCACGCGAACTGCCCAACTTGAACTTGGCGACTGTTGTCGCCAGTAGATCATACCGTATGCACAGCGGCGTTCAGATAATGCAAGGGCTTTACAATACTATTCCAGCGTTTAGGCAATCGCGAGCTACAGTGCAGCCCCAAGAAGCGTCATTCAAAAGACGCTAACAGAACACCCTTGAACAACACGGGCAGAGTCGCGGGGACGGACGGCGCCTTCGTCAGCAGCGTTAGGCTCGACATCCGTATGCTGACTCGTGAGCAGACTTCTGCGACGCCTTCACTCAGACGAACTCCATCAACGGGCCGGGCGCTGGCCGCGCAGACAGCTCAAATATTTAGCCAGCTGACGAATGCTGGCCGGCCGAACGGCCGGCCGGCCGGCAGGAAGCAATAAATCGCCCGGGGCAGCTCTGAAGCGGTGGGCGGCCGAATTCCTGCCCGCCGGCCGCCGCCTGACTCGAAATTAAAAGAGCACGCCGCGCAAACACGACTGGGAAGCGTTGTATCGATCGAAGGAGAGCTCGTGAGGTCTGGGGACCCTCTCAGGAAGACCTGCTGGGGGAGGGGGGGGGGGGGGCAGGAGAGGGGGGGGGGGGGATCAACAAGTTCCGCGAGCTCGCGTGTCATTTTCGTGGTCACACGAGCTCCCTTGTGAATTCACGACGGAGAATTCCCGTGAGAAATCCCCGGGCACCTCATCGCATCGTCGTCATATAACCGGGTTCAAGGTGATCAGTGTAACGCTACGGCCCTATGATCGTTCATTCAGTCAGCGTGAAGCCATATACCGTGACGTAAGCTGCAGGGAAGGCATGGCCATGCTGTTTTATTTTACGGGCCGAAGGTCAAGGAGACGCGCTAACACATTGCCAAAGCGTCTGTGCACTTACCGAGGCGGGCTCGCCAAGAGATGTCGCGGACTCCGACAGAAACTGCCGAGCAGAGCAGCACATGAGCGCAAGCGCAGGAACACAGATGAACATGAACACGCGTCATGAAAGCATGGGGAGGGACAATAACGCTCCAAATGAGCGTACATTTATTGGAAGATCGATAATAGTGCAAACTGACAGTAGCATGTTGCGGAGGGTGGAAAGCCCAACGAACCACCATGCCGCTACAGTGCTGGACGACACCGCCAAACCGCGGCATGACGCGGAAAATGAAACCTGTTTTGAATTAGGATATTTGTAGACGAAAAGGCCGCAAAGAGTGTGCCGCAATGACCTAGGAGCTCCCGGCCTCAGGAAACGCAAAACAAACCAGTGGCACATGGTCGGTGTGTTTCGTGAGCACGAAACAAAAATCGTTTAGTCAACGAGAAGGCTCCCAGACTGAAAGACTCGCAGACTTTACGAGCACGCGGGCTATACGTGCGAGCAGAACAGGCAACGTTGACAGCGTGTCGATGAGGTTTCGCATTTCGATGTGGCGTTCGCGTTTCGATAAGGCTTCACGCTCGATGAGATTTCGCGTTCTCGATTCCTTTCTGATTTTCTTCTATTTATTACCATTTTTAAAATTTCATTATTTCATTTACTTCTATTCATTAACTTCCTTTTGAAACCAGTGATACACGTTCGTGACAGTGATATTCGCATCTCATGAGGTTGGCTCGTTTCTTCATGCTGGTTCTGAGAACACCACGAAGTGCTTAGTTGGTACCAAGAGGTACGACCTTCGCTGAAATCGTTTAGTTGGAAACACAGCTTTCGAAACCAGTGGGTCGACCACTTTGTACGTTAAAGCATCCTGACCTGACAAAAATGCCCGGCACCCGCTGATCCCATGATATGTTGAACAAGCGCCCATGGTTGGTGGCACCGGACCAGCCTTTGAGAGCCATTGCGACAACAGAGATCCATGTTAATGTCAAAACGTGCCATTTCTCGAAGCTAACCACCACTGCCAAGAGTTGCCGCATTTTCCATACGAGTTCAACTAGGCGCGAAGCGAGGGAGCCGTTGGACAACGTTCTGCTGTTTCCAGACAAACATCCACCCAGCACCGTGCAGACGTCTGCACGTGTTCAGCCACGCACGGTGATGCTGCATATCCGGCTTGTTATTGGCGAACCGCGCACAGCTGTCGTTGAAGCGAGAGGGCGGCAGCTCGATGGAAAGAAAATGCATCTCTCTAGTCTCTATTTATCTCCTCTTATGTTCCACGTTCCCCGCCTGGACGGTGCAGGAGGTGAAAATATGATTCAGAATTATATTCACGCAATAACAAAATGCTTCTCAAGATGTTTAATGGGTTCCATTTTGTAATGAACTTTAAACACACCCGATCAAGAACACACTTCACGGTGAAACTAAGTCCTTGTTAACTTAAATAACCCATTTTTCGTTCAATTTCATCCTTCAGCATATCTAACATCGCTCAAGCACTTATCCACTTACATATGCCGAAGAATATCACATCAGCCTCGGAAACATCTTCACCGACATGACGGAGCCCCAGTGACACCACTCAGGGCTGTTCAGAATGGGGGGGGGGGGGGGGGGGTCAGGTCCATGCTCGCCAGCAAGCTGATTGTTTTCAGTGAAAACGCGGGAGCGTCCCGCACCCTCGGCTGTGCTCTGCGGGCCCAGCCAGGCGTTTACTAAGCGCACAGGAGCTCTGGACCGGTGTTTGTTGCTGGCTGGGATGGCACGTTCAAGAAGCTCTGACATTGGACACATTTTGGATGGGACGGTCTGGGACGGTCTGGGAACGACCCGTTTTATCTCGTTGGAATGCCTGTCACTTAACGGTTCGAAGTGCACGAATCTGAGAGGCGTTCGAAACATCTCGGAAATATGTGTACGCTTTTACGCTTTGTGGATGCAAGACTCGAGCTTTTCGACGTCTATTCACAAGCATGCATAGTTTACAGCTGGAGGGGCACCAGCCCCCCCTCCCCTCCCCCCAGCTTTGAGAACAAAGTGGGCAAACTCCGTAGAGAAACCGGATTGTTTGCGCATTTTTGGGGCATGTTTTGTCATTTCTACTGTTCAGCCCTCCCCCAACGCATGCTGCGAAACTACGCCTATGTCCACGTGATGTCTCACTGCGTGGAAGAACTGAACTTTTTTCGCGCAAAGATCACCAAGTGACCCGGGTCAGCGTTCTGGGTCAGTGAGGACGCGCGGTGCACCTGACCCCAGCCCGCGTTCTGGGGCAGTGGGACGTCGCGAAACAGGGGGGCGCAAACGCCCGTGACGACGCAGAACTGCCAATCGCCACGCGTAGTCTCGCATTGTCACGCATTGTCTCGCGGCGCGGTGACCCTTGAAGGTCATTGGTCGTCGGCGCGGCCGCTTAGTACGCTAATTCGCAGCCTTGAGCCACTCTTGCGGCTCTGTTTACGTTCGGAGGCGGCACCGGCGCTGACTACGTATCAGCTGCGCGTGGGGCGCGCCTCTCTCCATTGGAGCAGCCACTGGCGTGCGCGGCGTCTGCTTTGCGGAGCTGTTGGCATGAATAGCGTTGACAGTGCACGCAAGGTCTGAGAGGGTATCACTGGCCACGGTTTTGGTGTTTACACGTGCATACACGTTTGAGAATGCGTAAACGCGCACGTGTATGCACGTATATACGTATAAGTTATGTATTTGCACTATACACATTTATGTATATGTATATGCAGGCATACACATCTATGTACATTCCTGCCCAATTGCAACAAAACAATCAGAACGTAGATGCATGCTTAAGAATACTCAAACGCCGGAAGAAGAGGGAGATGAATACACGGAGTAGCGCCGTTATTAGCTCAAGTTTGCCACACCAGGACTGATACGAAGCTTTCTGGTGCAGCGTCTCCTGATTTCCACCTGTCAAGATAAGTACCGTGGATTATGATGACCGTAAGTACGCCCATGACTTTCACGCAGCAGCCCCTTATTGGAGATATGGGCTGGGATATGCAAATTAAGTATGATATATCCGCGTACATAACTCAGCCGCTAACCAAACCAAACGAGCCGCCATAAGCTCGCCCACTTTCGCCGTAGTCGCTAATTGTCATAATTCAGACTCTTCTCTCCGAGCTGCCTGGCTCGTATCAACGCCCGCCTCCCGAATTCATCGCCATCCTGTCCCCCTCCCCTCCCCTCCTCCATGAAAGCAAACTGAGAAATACTCTCGCGTGATATAGTGCCGGCAGTTAGGGTTACCGGGGTCGCACTGATGACCCCTAATTGCCCTCAGGCAGGGCGGCCGGCGGCGCGGGTGTGGATAACGTGGCCACTTCGTCATCGCCCCGGCCGACGCTTGTTCACGGGGCCGCCTCAAGGGGGGGGGGAAGGAGGGGGGGGGGGGGGGGAGGAGAGCGCGAATTCAATAGGAAACACATGAGCTGAACCTTCCACGCGGAGGCGGATTTGAAGGTCAAGCTTTCAAACTCATAGGTGGAGTTTGTGACACGTTGGACACGCGCACACACATGATCAACACGTTGGAGAAGGACGGCGTAGCTCCCATGCCATTCTCTCCCCCCCCCCCCCCCCCACCACCTAATTTTTTCGTTTGGGTGCTATTGGCGTGTTACAGGATTGATATACCATGTCATGGTATATGTCATGACATGTTGACAGTTTGCACTTCAACCAATGCAGCACTCGTGCCACGGGCCACAAAAGTACCAGCGTGGCGTCGTGAAATATCGGTATGTAAGAACAAATAACACTAGACAACAAATGAACAAGCAACCGCAGCAAAGGTGAAGGACATCGTTATGATGGGATAAATCTTGCCCTCAGGTGAGAAAAAGGAATAAAAACGATGCCCAATCATGGTTGTAATGGGTTAACGTGGAGATACAATGAGCCGCTAGTGTCTGTCAGTATGGTTGTGCACTATTCGTGCACATAATAAAATATTGACCGCAAGCCAGCGCACCAAGGCAGTTTGACACGACACCGATATTGGTATCTGAAACGAAAAGGTATGTTGCCTGAAATAAAATATCGAACCATTAGGCTTATTCTACTAAACTAACACAGTAAGACACACAAACTCACGCAGAAAAATCGCATGCGAACAGCGACATACTTGAAAACTGCTCATATCCGTTCGATTTTTAAAGGTAGGAGAGCCGTCCTCTTTTCTTTTGTGTTTTTTTTCTGTCGCGCCGTTTTCACCACTGCCGTCTTTCACGCTTTCACGCTGTTCATCTCCTTACATCTTTACATCCTTGTATTGGTAGCAAGCTTTTATAATTTCTCTTCCCACCGTTCTCCATCACTCGACCGATAGACTGTCTGAACCTTTGTCTTCTAAATGTGGGTGATTCACTTCTACTTGCAATCTACAACTTCCACTAAGACGCCCTTGTCCTCCTCCGATCACTCCGTACGGGATCGCGCCAAGATCCAAACCCTGGAAAGGTCCAAAAGCGACCGACCGGCCGGCAGACGGTGACGTCACTGGGGGGCGAAGTGGCGTCACTGAGAAAGCCGAGAACAACTTCCTTAAAATAACAAACAGGGTGGCCCTCCGCCGGCGGCTGACAAGGGACATAACGCAAAGACCTGTGCGGTTCATGTCAACTCGTGGCCACTAGCGCCCGGCTGTGCAAACAAAATGGCTCGGTATCGAGGAAACGTCGGACAATGTGCTTTCAGCCACTTGCAACCAGAAATGCTACGTAAAAGACACCACTAGAGAGAAGATGAGCGCCATGTTCGGCGGCGCTGGAAGCTACACTCGAACCACGGTACCAAGAGCAGCCAGGCAGCCGTGGCGGCAACTCGTTTTGCAAGGTAGCCGCCTGACCATGTGACATAACTGTGAGGATGTAATGAGGCTGTGACGTAGTTTGTCAAGTGCTTCACCGCTACCGGGACGTTGATGGCACGCAACACGTCACGTGGGCTTCGCGTGTCTCGAGCTTACAACGCAGCACGCCACGTGGGGCTGGCGTATCTCAAACTCACAACGCAACACG